ATGGCTGGGCCACGTGTTGCGCATTGCAGCCATCGACTTCCACGACGTGCGTTGTTTGCTCACCGGGGATGTGGATAGAAGAAGAAGTGGGGTGGCCAAGCGATGATTTGGTCAAGAGGAATGAAAGCCCTCACTTTTGTGCTGACCTCGATTGGAGCCTCACGGCTCCCTGGTTGGGGTCCAAAAGACGATGAACACGTTTTTTTGGATACACTTGCTGACATGGCAAGGAGCCGACCTCAGTGGCAATCCTGCTGTGAGTTTCTTTGTCCCTCCCCATCCCTTTTAGCCTCTCCCTCCACCTAAGATCTCATTTCTTAGCGTACAACATAATATTTTTTTTCTTTTTGCCTAGGAGTCGGCTGGTAGCTTTCCGGAACGATGCCTATCCGTTGCTGGTTGCTCAGCTGGCATGCAACTGTTGTACTTAGTTTCCTTTTCATTTGTGTATTGAGGCACAGTAGTTGAGGTGTTTCCCACCTCTAGCTGACGTGTATAATGATGATGAATGATGAATATGTTCATATGAAATAGAATACCTCCCCATTGGCGATACAGAAAAGTATGGGACCGTCGTGGACTCATCGGGCAACCTGTACGTTGTTGCACTCCGTTATTGGCCTTCGGTCTGCAACTATTTCCCTTGTATTGTTCTTCCTCTTTTCTCTTAGCTTCCACCCCTGTTCAGCATTAGTATCACTTCAATGTGAGTCATGATAATCGGATATATCTCACTATGATCCTCGGGGATGTCTGCTTAGAATCACAAGTTGGCTTACCGAATAAGCTTGTTTCCAATGCTACTTTACAGGAGTACTACAACGTTACAGATAAGTCGGACCGAATGCAGTTAGTTAAGCATGAGGAATCGACGTCATGAATTGTCTGACCAATAGGGCTATGCGAATGCACTGGTTAGCGTATACTTGTTAGAGCTAGCACCATCTTCGTCACTAGAGGAGAGAAGGCATGGTTAGTAGATGACAACCCAATGTTCCTATGAGCACACAAATTCGGGTTGTGGAGCAAAATGACCATCACTCCTGTTGCTAATCGACAACGTCTGACTGCCAACATGTTTTGTCTGGGCATTCTTTAATTAGGACGATTTGGTGATTCGTGCCCATTAAGTGCAACAGCGCAACGCTCGTCAATTTACTCTTTGCACACTTGCATAATAACTCTGCGCAACGTTCACACACTTTCTGGCTATTAGCCGATCATTTTCACGATACGGCTTACTCTGAACGAACAACACAAATTGCATCCACATGCCTTCGAGCAGCTGACCCACAAACGGGGCAAGTGACACGTAACTTGACTGCGTAGTACGTTTCCATGATGGCACTGGGTTGGTTTTAGGGGGTCCGTTCCGCTATCGCGTTGGTGTTTGAGGCGAATTAAAATAATACATTCATATGAATTCATTCGGGTAACTACGCTTTTCGAACACAGGATGAAACTGATTTCATCTGAAACTGTATTTTCCAAGCATATCTACCTCGCGGGCGAGCTTTCATTTCAGACTCATTAGAATGGTGGATGGATCACTGTTTGCTGACGCTTGCTTTCCTGTGCAACATCCAATGTCCTGGTGTTCTGACATCTAAACATGCCATGGAGTTGTTTGCGTTCCATTTCTACAGTTAGTATCATGTTACTTCGTACATCCTTGAGTCGGGTAGGTGGAATTTCAGTGCACACTCGACTTTTCTCGATGCAACTATGCCGTCTACATTCTTGGAAGATACTTGGAACCGATCGAGTAGTCATGAGTTCAGAGAGGTTTGGAAACAATCGGTTGGTATAGTAGTTTGGTAACGTTTCGCCCTCGACACAAGAGCTTCGTCAGACCAGGTGAATCAGAATGCAATTGTTGGAAACCCTGGACTATTCCCACTGTGATCAAACCACCTGAGGTGACATCACGAACTGTTATTGTAATGACATCATGGCTCAAGTCTCAGGTAACGCGGTTATTGCCCCTGTTCGCTATAAAATCCCACACCAATTGTACACTGATTCACCTGGTCTGACGAAGCTCTTGTGTCGAGGGCGAAACGTTACCAAACTACCAACCGATTGTTTCCAAACCTCTCTGAACTCATGCCGTCTACATGTTCACTGTGGTATGCCAATTTGTTGGCAGATCCTCTCAACTGTTTGTTCTCCATTTCCCCCCTTGAATAAATCCCCGATCAAGGGCTCTACTGGTGAGTCCATAGTCATTTACCATACTCATCGGAATTGGTGTGCGAAACAAGGACGTAATGCATCCCGACGTATACTTTCACTGCCGGACTCAAGTTTATTTCCCATTGAACAGTGGCCTAACCTCTGGATTCGGGCCACAATCCACGCACTAACCGACTCCTTAAAAGCCAATTACTTAGCAACTCTGCTTAATCCTTTGTTTTGAGTTCGAACATTCCATTCACCGCTATGCAGATTGTGCAGTAGTTCAATAGACCGTAACCGAACTATTCATATGCATCTTCTTGATGTCTATATGATTTCTGCCTTGATAGATTATGGATTATCGATAAGGCTAATACCGGGTAAGTTGTAGCTGCACTCGATCAAGTCTGTAATTTCTTATCTTCTCAGAATATACCAAGTCTAAACAACGGCTCAGATACTACTGGTTGTTCTGGTGATCACTAGTACCCGCTGATTAGGCAACTACTTGGTTAGAATGCACAATGCCCCTGTCAGACTCACAGTTTATCCACATTTCTTCTTTACGATGCGGTCTTATGTTAGCTGCAGGATTCGCGATATCTACTGACTGTTGCTGATGCACACAGTTACCCGACGGTTTCGCATCGATAGTGCCCAATGGTTAGTGCAGAGCTTGTCGATCTGGTGTGATTAGATCTTTCCTTATTCGCCAGCCGGGAAATTACCGTCCAGGGGTCTTCGTGTGGATATCAGGGACTACTCCATCGGAGTCCACTGAAGGGAATGCACTGTCTACGATGTTACTTATAATCCTTTCGACCCCATTTCATAAGTAACATTGTCCTCCCATGTGTTCATCCGCAAGCAACGCCTCAGAAGTCAGCTGATGTGTGCTCCCTGATGTATTTTAAGCTACTGTGAAGATTTTACACAGGGATCAACTGGTTCAGTCGGATTGGGACCTAACATATACGGTGGAACGATGGTGTATTCTGGAATAAGGCAAGTGCTTAGCAAGTCACGTAGGATGGACTTGGGAACCACGGAATAGAGGAGGACCACGCTAAGATAAACCGCGCATTGATACTTACTACTACGTTCACAGGCGGGAGTCCGTAAGAGGTATATCCCTATTGTGTTGGAGAGTGATGGCGAGTGCGGCGTGTGTCACGTCATCTCATTTGCCTGCGTGCGTTGGCTATACTTTGTCATTTGTTGTGGGTTTCTTCGTAGCTGCTTCCAACTCAGATAGTCCCCCACACTTGTCCATAAAAGCGCTAGACGGCCGTCTCGACCTGTTGGGTCACGCTAGTAGTACGCGTCCTTCTGCTCCATCAGGATCCGAATCCATAACCACCAGAATATTAAACCACCAGTCAACAGCTTATGCTGCTGAGTCATAGGGATAGCTGCGACTGTCATGATTCACAAGCTACCTGCAAAATGACCCGTCTTATCCTCCACTAACATGCTAGTTGCGAACATTGCAGAGTACATGGTTGGCCCGGAAGGATGGTTTCTCTGACTGTGGCCATGTACGACATAGTATTCGGAAACTGTTTGGGCCAATATCTTGATCTACTAATGAGTAGTCTGTAAACCATAACGGTCCACCGCTGTTCATCATGGCTCAGTGACGTAAGCTCCTGCTCGGCGGTTTAATCCGCTAATCGTCATTGGTTAGCATCCTAATGGAGTCGATGGATGCACAGTACTAACAAAATCCGACAGGTCAAGATGGCCATCTAGTGCTTTTCTGCGCATGTGGGGACTATCTGATTTGGAAGTTGCTACGAACAACCCCCAGGAGTTTACATCAAAAATCCCCCTACCCATTAGTATATATTTTCCAATGTTAGTGCGTTAGCGCAATGACATCTCGTTTTTTTACACATCCATCAATTATGTGGGGACGAAAACCAGGTAATTATGAAGGGCGTACCATGGCTGGCACCCAGGGGGAGAGAAGGAGCTCCTGCGGCTTTCCAATCGGCTGTATTGTGTGATCAACTCTCAGCTTTTGTGTGACTAATTTCGAGAACCTTCAAGATCTGACTCGTGACCGATACACTTGGCGTTTTTGCCGTCATGTAACTTAACAGTGGGTGCAACGTTTATATGATGCTTAGCTATTTGTGGAGTTATGTAAACTACAACACGACACAGCGAGGGCAGCTGGGACGTTACCTGACCTATATCGCCTTATTTTTATGTGACATCTGCCTTTCATTCGCAGTAGACAGAACGATGATCTTTGGTATACTTGCTAACTGCTTCAATCACCGTTTACTTCACCTACACCACAGCAAGTCATATCAATTATCTCTGATTAGCTCTCAGCCATGAACTTCGGTTTAGTTCTTCACACTGGTGGCACCGCAAGATGGTGACCACAAACTCTTGGGAAGCTATACCACCTGAATTTGTTGCTTGGGTTCAGTTACTGCCATATTGGACACATCGCTGCACCCAAAGGCGCTTGTATTGTCATATTCTGTGCCGGATCGTCTAGCAATTGCTGTGGGCCTACCGGGAACATCGAGTAAGCATTACTCACGCACCGCGCTTTCACTGCATTGGAACAAAACCCTAGTAACTTTTTTGTGGACCGAATATGTCTCTTTGTGAGCCAACCTTCTGACGGGATTGTGGTATTGTCCACTAGGTTCCGTTGATACTCCTCAACAACCAAATCGGACATTATTTCTTCTGAACGTCCCGACTACCTCATCGCCCATTATCTCGGGAACAATTTAGATACATGCTTCACTACTGTATACCTTTTTCTGAATAGCTTAAACATTTCTACACTCTTCTCTTATAGTATGGTTAATATTCCATTAATCAAGGCCCCTATTTCCTCCGGAGAATTCTATCGAAGGTGTGTTTCGTTCACAATTTTTCACCCTCATTAATAGTTACCTCATTCCAAACCAACCATGTGTGCTTGACCAGTGGATAACTTCCGGATGGGAGGCGCGTGAACTCTGGTGTCATCTTGATGGAACAGTTAACATACAGGCTGTCTTCAAGCACATTCCTGGTAGTTTTCGCCTTATGAATTAACTCTGCGATTTGTTTTGAACCAGATGATCAAGTACTTTGCGTCAGCGATTGTTCACGCCTAGAATTCGATGCTCACGTCACGATGGAAATGACTGTCAAGGAATTCACTCACTATTGGGACGATTTGCAGCCTCCATTGGATACAAAACTGCTTTACCTGAAAGATTGGCACTATTTCAGGTATTCTACCTCACTGATCTGTTACGCAAGCACACACACACACACACACACACATATATATATATATATATATATATATATATATATATATATATACTGTCGTGTTATTTGTCTTGCAGAGACAATCCTGGACACTACTTCACACTTCCCGATTTATTCGCATCCGATTGGTTGAATGAGTTTTGGCGGGTTCGGCGGGATATCACAAACGATTACCAATTCGTATATCTTGGCAAAAATAATACATGGACACCTTTGCATTCTGACGTCTATCGCTCGTACAGCTGGTCGGCGAATATATGTGGCCGGAAACGTTGGTGGTTCTTTCCCCCAGGTAAGCCTAGACATAGCTGTAGAATGCGACTTTTCCCCCTTTTGAATGTTACCTGGATTGTCCACTGTTGACCCCTGATTACATGCACGATTTTCGCTACCTAAAAAGCCCATGTTGCGGATTGCGAGCATGCCATATGTCGGGAACAATCACAACTCAAAACTCTCTCGCAAGAGTGATGTGAACCACTGAACCAATCAATTGAAATCCTGTCCTACCTTCGTTGGCCTTGAAGAAACGCCCCTGAGTAATATTGATTCAAATTGCCTAGGCAATGCAATTTTTGTTGTTGAGGGAGCTCAGGTTTTTCGGAGACTTTTAATAGCTTTGTTCACCATCAACTCTTTCCTCCTATATGCCGGGGTAGAGTGAGGACTTAATAGATTCCATCACACTACCAGTTATGTGCGACCTTATCCGACTGCTATCACAAAGTTACTGGGCTTTTGCATTCGATTCTGCGCTTCCTAAGTTGTCCAGTTCATCCAAATTATTGAATGTTTTTTTGTTTCTTTTTCAATCTGCTGGTTTATCCGTCTCATTTCGTCACTGTTGACGCTGATCCTCACGTTTTGGCACTCAACTTATCGTTTTTTGACTGAGCCGAGGCTAAGTTGCATACAGGTTACTAGATTACTATGAGCAATACTCCTTAATCTATTTTTCTTTCAAACCGAATGCGCTCAACGGCAACTTTTCAGTATTTGAATAGTGCTAATCCCCTTCTGTGTATCTCATTTCCACGTAGTTCCTTTTGTGATTACGATGAGATTTGAAGCACTGGGTTCCCTGTATCAGTCTAAATACTACAATGAGAAGATGGGTGTTGCACGATGATATCATTTCGCGCGTCCTGGTCACATGCAAATGGGCGACATGTAACGATCAGGAAAGGGGAAATCAATGATTTAAATGATGTCAGAATGGGAATGGAAGAAATATAAGGGTATAACCTCCAACAGAATCACAACCTTTGAGACAAGTGTCACAATCCCCAAGGAAGCTTGAGGGTGACAGTCAACTGTTTTTGCACACATAGGTCCAGACGGCAGTGATTAATTGCCATAGCCTGCGCGAGCTTGAGTATCTTGGCTTTTTCATCACGGTAGATAACCGTAAACGCCAAGTTATACTCAACTTGGTGCCCCGTTCCAAGTAGATATCTAGCTATCGAAGAGACCGGCAATTTGTATTCTTGACTCTTCTCCCTGCGTTTGGCGGCGGTCCCTGAAGATGCGTTGTGTAATAATCCGATAAAATTGTGCAACCGCAACAGCTGAGCCAACTTTGAGTACATTCAAATCTGTCTTCGGTTTTCTGAAAGAATATGTCGGTTGAGAGAAGTTCACAACCTGCTGCCCGTGACTCATCGAAACGGTGGTCCAGTTAGGTTACATCCCTTTTGGGTTGTTGTTGCTATTGTTGTTGTTGTTGTCATCGTCGTCCTCGTGCTTCTTGTTGTTGTTGTTGTTGTTGTTGCTGCTGCTGTTGCTGCTGTTGTTGTTGTTGTTGTTGTTGTTGTTGTTGTTGTTGGAGATTCACTATATATTTGTTTGTCACAATTCCGTAACCTTTGGATGTTTCTTCCCTAACTCTCTCCGCATTTACATTGATCATCAGATTACAAGCATTATTAACCGTGAAACATTGGGTTTTCCTAAGTTAACCAAGACTTTTCTATATTTCTCAACCTTCCCTGATCTCGTATAGTAGAGTTCACCTGGACCATGCTGCTTCAGAACCTCAGAGTGCCCCTGGGCCCACGTCGGCCGAATATGGTTTTTATAGGAAACAACTCATGCATTGCAGCCGCATCCGACAAACTAGTTTTGGGTCACGGGTTTCGCTTCAACTCCGATTGTATAGTTGACTTTGTTGGGCTAGATCGCTCGGTATGCTAACCATACAGTTGAGATGTGCATGTACCCACTTGCCTTTGGTTGGATTGCTAAGATGAGTGCATCCACTGTTTAGACACTCATCTCATCCTCTGATCCGAACGTTATTCTCCTAAACCACTTCTTGTGGTTTTATTTAAGTGAGGAAAGAAACGGATGTGGTAGGAGAGTGGTTTGTTACTAATAAGTCGACTGCTGATTAGCAAGACCTGTGTAATCATCAGATTGACAGTGTAGAGATAAGAGACACCACAACACCACAACAACACTAATCCTATTCAGTAAACTGACTGTGAGGTTCACATACGTGCATATTGATGCAGAAGCATCGATTTCATTGGGTCGGTAGATGAGCGTGCTATCAGTTTACCTTGTAGTATCTCTCGAGGAATACTGGGTTCATCAACACTACAGATGGGTTAGTGCGTCATCAAACCACTTTTTTTATCTGGACAGTACATGGAGATGGAGGTAATGCACTCTAACAAGACATTCTACTCTTGATCTTCTCTGTGAGGGTTAGACTTTGGCGACTTTCCAATCCGCTCTCCAGTTTGACTAACTCTTGACCCATCAGGTTTGTGTTGTGGCGGCGAACGTGCCTAGGGTCCCTGAGGATGGACTCTGTAGTAATCCGATGCTTAACACTTTACACCTGGCACTATTAGACCACAACACGCTGTGATTCGACTAAGTATATATATATATATATATATATATATATATATATATATATATATTTGCAACAGTCTATGAATAGACGTAGAGCCATCAAAAGCCATGGAACACAAAAGAAGGTACAGAAATTGTAAAAGAGAACACAACACAACACATTACAGTCCATGCTTTCGTCAGAGGGCGAAATACTACCCGGTTGCCTAAGCCGAACTAGGGTGTTGACTTAGGGGACACCACGCCGAGCCTTTGGCTGAATAGCCCATTGGGAGCCGGTGACTGATTGCTCAGTTCACACGCCTTTCGTTTGTTCCTTTGTCAAACAGGGGCCCAATGCTTTGCCAGGATGAAGCAAGGGGCAGTGACTTTATTTAGTGGCGAGTCACGTACGCCAAGTCACAGTGTTGTTAAACGGACATATGTGGCTTTTTATAGGGTGAAGGCTTGCCGTGCGAAAACCCACCACGTCCTGGAACACTGCCGCCGAACCATTTGCTGGAACGGGGAATTCCTGAACCACCCAACTGGCACCACTAGGTTTTTTCGACAAGCCATGATCATGATCACTTTGCAGTGTTCTGTTGTCGCCTGTCACCTTGATGACCTGTCATTTGTTGTGGTCCTCAGCGAAGAGTGCAGACTACGACGACAACTCTCGTAAAATCATTTATGAAAGCCAACAGTAGGTCTGATCATCGTACTGAATTTTGAGTCAAAATGAACACTGCGATTTATCACTCGAATTCCAAAAGAGAATACGACACTCCACTTGGTCAAAAGCCCTTGGGGAGTACCAGTAGGTAGCATCCACGGATTCAGTGCGTCATGCAATAGCTATCAGATAGCTTCTGGTGCAGGACCGGTCAAGACCGAATCCCCGCTGCATCTTTCCCATGATAACTTCTCTCTCTAACAATTCCTCGGGTGCGTTTACAATTTTATCTTTTGTGATTTGTGTAAGCACCGGGAGAAGAGTTATCTTGCTAGTCCTCACGAGTTCGGCATGATTTCCCTCTCGTAAAGAGATGTGACTGTTCCCACTTTCTGCGTTGTTTTATTTTGCATTTCGTTTAAACATTGTTGACAAATCTGATCGACGGTTTAACCAAATTCTTGCCAACCAGCAATCACTTTTGATGAATTTCTTGCGCATTGGGAGCAATGTGTGATACTCCAAATCCCTAATCATATCCCGGTGGATGTCCTCCGTCGATGACTGTCGAGCATACAGAGGGGTTGAAGCGGGTAATAAAGATGATTCGGACCAAGCACTCCTTAGCGCCAAATTTAGACTCTTCTTTACAACGCAACAGAAGACCTTAGCATCAAAGGGTATCAACACTGCCACACCGGAAAATACTGGTTGTTGCCGATCCCTGGAGGTAACAGTAAGAGCAGAGATTTCTGTCCGTGCACCACACCTCGCACTTGCAGAAGAGGAATCTGTCGACGCTCGTTGGTCTAGGCTAGCTCGTCAGTTCAACGCGCCGCTTTATCTACCCTGGGCTGTACCTCCAAGTCTGTGAAGGACAAGATCATTGGAGATACTATTCGCTCGTCGGTTGAAGCGAAAGAAGCACGTCTCACGAATACCCCAGAATATCATTGCTTCTGACATGAGGCAACCCGTTCAGCAAAGAATGATCGAAACCGCTACTGGTCTGTTATCGCAGGCAACATAGAAGCTGCATCAAATTCTGGCATTTTGGGTCATCTTTTTCGTCTCGTTTATTTAGCTTCCGGCAAGGGCTATACACCACAGCCGATATTGCGCGATTCGGAAGGCCAAATCATCCCCGATACGGAAGGAAAACTTTCCAGATGGCTATAGTATTTTAGCAACTTCCTTAACCGTCCACTACACACAACCGCACCCATTTCAGCATTAACCCAGTCAGGATATGACGCGGATTGCTCACCGCCATCTTCTACAGAAATTGCAGACATCGTTCGCCGCCTGAAGCCGAAGAAAGCTCCTGAAGCGGACGGGATTCCAGTGGAAATCTACTAAACTTGTCTACCAACTCTCTTTACCATTTGCACGAGCTCATTTGTTCGCTAAGAGAGACCGAAATCTGTCCTCCATTGTGGAGTACCTCAGTACTACTGCCATTTCCCAAGAAAGGTGATCGAACTGTGTGCAGTAATTATCGCGGGATTAGCCCAATCGATGTGGTTGCCAAGACCTTTGTACGAATCTTGCTTTCTCTGTTTGCCAATCAGAGGTAGCTGCAAACTCGCCATAACCAAGATGGTTTTATTCCAGGCAGAGACTGCATTAACCAAATCTTTACGTCCCGTACTCGAACACCACTAACAATTCCAGCAGCCCCCATTTGCTTCATTGACTTTCGAATCGCTTTTGATTCGATCGAACGTGAAGCACCCTGGAGCATCCTATTTGCCGATGGCGTGCCAGTTGTGGAA